CAGTGTTTACCTATTTCACGCCTAAATCTAAATTTGTCTAATTTAAAACCATTGTTACGAGTTCGCTCCTGGTTGGATAGTTTGAGTACCTTTGTAATGTCCTCTTTGTTTAGCCCTGTCTTCCACTTATATACCTCTATCAGGTCGCCCCTCGCTCTACGTCTCTCGAGGGAGTGCAAATTAAGATGCTTTAACCTGTCTCTATACTCAAGGTTCCTAATGCCCGGATTAGTCTTGTCATTCTCCTCTGAATTCTTTCCAAGGATTCTATATCCATTCTGTAATACGGTGACCAGAACTGAACTGCGTAATCCAGGTGTGGTCTCACAAGAGCAAGATACAGTTTTAGGATGACCTCGCTAGTCTTGTAACTAACACTCCTTTGTATGAACCCAAGTACTTTATTAGCCTTGTTACGAGCAAAAACACATTGTTTACTTGGCTTAAGGTTCCTACTTATCATTACTCCTAAATCTCTCTCGCAGTCGGATTTCTCTATGGCATCGTTGTTCATCTGGTATCTGGTTTCCCTGTTTACATCTCCTATACTGAGTACTTTACATTTGTCTACATTGAATTTCATCTGCCATTTTTCAGACCATTCGAAAAATTTGTTTAGATCTTCCTGTAGTTTTGCCGAGTCCTCGTCAGATTTGATAACACGTCCTATTTTAGTGTCATCAGCAAATTTACTTATGTTGCTGTCTATGCCGATATCTATGTCGCTTATGTATATAATAAACAATAATGGTCCAAGTACTGAGCCTTGGGGAACTCCACTTGTGACGTTGCTCCAATGGGACTTAGTGCCGTTAATGCTCACTCGCTGTTTCCTGTCCTGTAACCACGCCCTAATCCATTTAGGATGTCACCTTTGATGCCATGAGCTTCTACCTTTCTAATTAGTCTTTCGTGGGGGACTCTGTCGAAGGCTTTGCTAAAGTCGAGATATACCACATCATAATTGTGCCCCTCGTCCACTGATTCGAAAACTGATGAAAAGAATGTTAATAGATTAGTTAGGGCAAGAACGTCCGCTTGTGAAGCCATGCTGGGAATCATTGATCAATCGGTGCTTCTCCAGGTGATTTCGAATAGAGTTTGAAATGATTGCTTCCAGTAATTTGCCTACTATTGATGTTAGACTGATTGGGCGGTAGTTAGAGGATAGTGATCTATCCCCTTCTTGAAAATCGGTATTACATTCGCTATCCTCCAGGATTCTGGTACTACACCTGTTTTTAAGGACATGTTAAACAACTTTGCTAAGGGCATACTAAGCTCTTCCTTACATTCCTTTAATACTCTGGCAAATATCTCATCGGGACCAGGTGACTTATTAGGCTTTAGTTTGTCTATTTGCTTACTAACATCGTTACTAGTCACTACTATCTCACTTAATTTGTTTTCTTCACTATCTCTGAATAGAGTCGGTGCCTCGGGTATCATGTTTAGATTTTCGGTGGTGAAAACTGTTGAAAAATATTTATTCAAATTATTGCTCATTTCTCCGTCGTTATCAGTGAGCTCGCCGGAGCCTGACCGTATTGGTCCAATCTTTTCTCGTGTTTTAGTTTGATACATTTGGTAGAATCCTTTGGGGTTTGTCTTCGCCTCCCTTGCTATCCTTACTTCATTATTCCTCTTTGCTTTCCTTATCTCGGTTTTAACTCTACTCGCCAATACCCTATAATAGTCCCGGAGGTGAATTTTGCCACGATTTATCCTTCTACCTATAGCCTTCCTTTGGCCAATGATGTTCTTTAAATAATTATTTATCCATTTAGGGTCATTGTTGTCTGATCTGAGTTTTTTGTATGGTATGTTCTGCCTTTGTGCATTAAGTAACTCACTATTTAAATTATCGTGGAACTCGGCAATCTCAGATCTCGTTATCAGGTCGGTGTCATCTGTCAGGTTCACGGCCAAGCGCGACACCCCCTCTCTCAGCTGCCTCTTTAAACTGTCAAAGTTTGCCCTTCTGAAATCTGGTACTTTAGTGGAATTTTCCTTACGTCTGCCCTGAAAATCTAACTGGAATCGAATTTCTTTGTGATCGCTGTTTGCAAGTTCGTTCCCTACCTCGACATTGCTAATGAGGTTTTCTCTGTTCGTCAGAACTAAATCCAGTATATTATTACCCCGTGTGGGTTCGGTTATATGTTGACTTAGGAAACAGTCCTGGATCGTCTCGAGAAAATCCTCTGATTCTGAGTTACCCGTAAGGACAGTCCAATCTATTTGGCCAAGGTTAAAGTCGCCTACTATACAGACTTTGTTGTGTATGGAAGCCCTGCGCATTTCATCCCAGATAAGTCGCTCATTGACGCTATCAAGATTGGGGGGTCTATATATTACCCCTGTGATTAATTTTTCCCGACCGTCGCTTAATTCTATCCAAATTGTTTCTGTATTCCTCTCAGTTTTTATTTCCTTATTTATTTCACACTTCAGATTATCCCTAACATAGATTGCTACTCCGCCTCCTTTCCTGGTCTGCCTATCGGTATGGAACAGTTTGTAACCCGCAATTTGGTATTCGACTGGTAATTCACGTGTGTCTAGGTTGATCCATGTTTCAGTGAATGCAATTATATCGATTTCTTCGGTACATACCAAGGCCTTAATATCATCCATTTTGTTTCTCATACTTCTACTGTTCACGTAGTATACATTTAAGTTAGTCGTGTTCTGAGTCCTTCCCTTACCGCGTTTAGTTTTAAACTCCCTGTCTAATTTAGTTTTGTAATCATTCCTAACACTATTTCCCTGTAATCTTTCGCCTTGTTTACCCGCTCCCACTGCAGTCTCCTCCACCCCCGTGCTCCTATGTTCTCTTAGCAGTTTAAAGACTTCGATATCTTTTGAACTGCCCCCTCTAGAGCCCCAGCCAGGGTTGCTACTCCATCCCTAGACAGGTGCACCCCATCCCTAGCATAAAGGTCCCTTCTGCCATAGAAGTTGTCCCAGTTGTCAATGAATGGGACTGATATTGACTTGCAATATCTGTCAAGACGGTCGTTAACACCAACTGCCCTTGACAACCATTCACTGCCAACTCTCCTTCTAGGCAGGACACCGCATATGATAGGGATCCCTCCCTTAGTCCTAATACGATCTATGGCTGCCTTGAACTTATCAAGAAGTTCCTCGCTCCTACACCGGCCAATATCATTGCCTCCTGCACTGAGGCAGATAATGGGTTTGTTCCCATTACCAGACAAGATATTGTCCATCCTGTCAACTATATCCCCACCCCAGCTCCTGGCAAACACACCCTCATCCTATTTTTGTTTTTACCACAAAAGGCCCTGTCCATGTACCTTACCTGTGAGTCACCAACAATTAAAGTTTTTATACCTTCCTTGTCATCCCTGCCCCTGTCTGTACTAACGTCCAATTCGTCTATCAAGGGACTGAACGGGTTGGTACACTTAGCTGTTGTTGTCGTTGTTGTCGTATCCTTTGAGTGCTTCTTGACCACCAGCTTGGTCCTCCCACTACTCACGACTTTCCACTCGTTTGATTTTTCGTCAGACACTGGCTTTACTCGTCCAGCCTCTCCTTTTAACTTCGCCAGCTCTTTCCTTAATGTCAGGTTCTCCAACGTGGCCCTCTCAATTTCTAACTTGGCCCTCGCCAATTTTTCAGTGGACCACTCCAGTTTGGTCAACAAACTCTCATACCCAAGACCGCACATATCACTGGTCATATCTGATCCACACCTGTGGTCCAGTGGTCCACACCTGTGGTCCAGTAGTTCACACCTGTGGTCCAGTGGTCCACACCTGTGGTCCTTACCTGTGGTCCAGTGCCTGGAGGAGTCCCTGCGGTAGTGTTGGTAGTGTTAGATGATTATTAATTGCGCTCATTACGAAAATTGGATCGATATTATTCCTGATAAGGGAGGTCTTTCACCATCATAGATGGAACAGCTCTCGTGCCACTCTCCAATTACGATGTTTTTAAGCTTAATTTGATTTCCATACATTCCTCACATAAATTATTTGGATTAGTTATCTTAAAGGCTTACCTTTAATGATGGTTAGGAGAATTTGGAGGATATAAGCGGCAATGAGGAAAGTAGAGGCTATCGGATGTTCCTACACAAAAATTAAATCCTATAAACAAGTACAATAAAAATGTTCATAGGCTGTTCTATTAGGAGGATATCTTATAAAAAAGAATTATTCCTTTGTATATTCTACAATTTATGTACATCCAATTCTATTTCTTTTCTTTTGGCTTCAAATATAGTTCCATAGGGCAGGGGTGCGAGTACCACGGAAATCGCTGACGTTCAAATATTGAATCTCACAGTTTTTGTATTTTGTTTTTAAGAGCTGAGTGCTTCTTGCAAAGCGACCATCAGGATACGACAGCCTCGTGTATACGATGGCAGTTCTTGCATTTGGTCTCACCGGCAGCCCCACTCAGGGTTCCAAACCTACCACTAGTTAGTGTGGAACTAAATTTGGCTCGTCCTCTACACAACTCTCAACTCTTTTTAAGACATTTGTTTTAATACTTTACATTAAATAGAACATCATATAATAAAAATTCAAACAGTAACATAATATAGCAACAACATCCGATACAATATCATCTTATATCGGTACACTTTATATTCATAAACATTTAAAAAACGCTACAATTAAACCCAACCACCAAATCGAGTAAGTATACCAACACACACGTAGGTAACCACTCAACCACTTGTAACATTGTCATATTGATTAATGACGCTGAAAGTTGGTAAACTCTTCTAAAACTAATTGTTTCCTTTCAAACATGTTAATCATGACTGCTGTATGGCAAAGATTCCTGTGCTCATAGAATGTAATATATTACCTTCTGCCGAGAACAAACAAAAAACAATTATTAATATTCTGTCTGTCCATTAAAAAGTCACACAATAGGTCTATAATGTAATTCTACATAAACTTTGAATATATTAAATGCCAATAGTAAGATTTATTTCACTGTGTTCGCTTCCGCAGACACTTCGTTGCCAGACAACTGGTGGTGGAGACGGGTGGTGGTGGCCGGGTGGATGGTTGGGGCGCTGGTGTTGATCAGAAGCTACGCTGGTAACCTCATGTCTGTACTGGCTGTACGATACATCAGGCAGCCATACCAGACACTCCGGGACGTCCTGGACGAACCATCCACCACTATCATGTGGCAGACCAACACAACTAATGTTCAATATTTCCGTGTAAGTTTGTGTTCATTAATTTTGATACTACTTCATATTTCATAATGATATTTCCTCTCCTAATTTTTCCGATGTTTTAAGTCTGTGGAGTCTGGCATCTTCCGGGAGGTGGCGGACTTAGAACGGATGGGACGCGTCAAATTCCAGAAGCTTTCAGAGATATTCCAGAGTGTGGGCACCCTGTTGAAGCGTGGCGACCATGTCTTGTTTGAAGTGGAGATAGTTACCAAAATGATCATAGGAAGGGACTTCACAAAATCAGGTACCCTGAAAAAGTTCAATTGCATTGTTAGCATATATGTGAAAAACGAAGACTATATATATGTATATATATATATATATATATATATATATATATATATATATATATATATATATATATATATATATATATATATATATATATATATATATATATCTTTTATTACCAGGTCGCTGTGACTTTTACTCGTCTAAGGAGAGGTACCTGCCTGTGGTATTATCTATGATAGGCCCGAAGAATACTCCACTTGTACCTCAATTAAGTAAAAGGTATTTATAATATATATATATATATATATATATATATATATATATATATATATATATATATATATATATATATAAGAACAGAAGAAAATAAGGAGTCTGCAATAGGCCGGTTGGCCTGCGCATGGCAGCTCCTGTCGAGAGTTACTGCCACTCTCTATCATCCATGAATCTATCAAGCCTCCTTTTGAAACTTTCCAGAGTTCCCGCACTTACTACAAAGTTGCTAAGCTTGTTCCACTCGTCCACCACCCTATTTGTGAACCAGTTTCTTCCAATCTCCCTCCTAAACCTAAAGTTATCCAACTTGAATCCGTTGCTCCGAGTCCTATCCTGCTCGGATATTATAAGAACTTTATCTATATCCCCTTTATTGATTCCTTTCACCCACCTAAATACTTCTATCATATCTCCCCGCACTCTTCGTCTTTCTAGGGAATGCAAGTTAAGTTTCTTTAACCTATCCTGATATGGAAGGTTTCTAAGTCCCGGAATCATTTTTGTCATTCTTCGCTGCACCGACTAGTGAATTTATATCCATTCTATAATAGGGGCACCAGAACTGAACCGCATAATCGAGGTGCGGCCTAACTAGTGCAAGATATAGTTGCAATAAGACCTCTGCACTCTTGTTACTTACACTTCTGGATATAAAACCCAATACTCTGTTTGCCTTATTTCGAACATTAACGCACTGTTTTCTAGGCCGTAGGTCCGGGCTTACAAGTACCCCTAGGTCTCTTTCACAAGTCGACTTCTCTAGGTTGATGTTGTTAAGGCTGTATACATTATAAGTATTTGTTCTTCCAGTATTAAGTACGCTGCACTTGCTGGTGTTGAATTTCATTTGCCATTTTTCAGACCACCCCTGCAGTTTATTTAGATCCTCCTGTAATGCATTTGCATCCTGCCCTGAATTAATTTGCCGCCCAATTTTGGTGTCATCCGCAAACTTGCTTATGTCACTGCTGATCCCAGTATCTAAATCGTTTATGTAGATTATGAACAAGAGTGGGCCTACTACTGACCCCTGGGGAACCCCACTGGTTACACTGCTCCACTCAGATTTAACACCATCTACGCTGACCCTCTGCGTTCTATCGGTGAGCCATGATTTTATCCAATTTAAAACTTTCCCCTCGATACCATGAGCCTTAATTTTTCTCAGAAGCCTCTGATGCGGTACTCTGTCAAATGCTTTGCTAAAGTCTAAGTAAATATCATCGTAATTTTCGTCATTATCTACTACCTCGAAGACTTTCCTAAAAAACGTTAGCAGATTTGTTAGACAAGATTTTCCCTTTGTAAACCCATGTTGAGAGTCGTAGATTAATTTGCTTTTCTCTAGATGCGATCGGATGCTATCTGCTATAATTGATTCAAGAAATTTCCCCACTACTGACGTCAAACTGATCGGCCGGTAATTTGACGCTGATGCTCTGTCTCCCTTTTTGAATATGGGTACTACATTTGTCTGTTTCCACAACTCTGGCACAACTCCAGTGTCTAATGATTTTGTAAATAAGTTTACGAGGGGCCCGCTAATCTGTTCCCTACACTCTTTTAAAACTCGAGGAAAAATTTCATCCGGCCCTGGGGATTTTGTATTCTTTAGTATATTTATCTTCTTAAGAACATCCTCTTTTCTGATAGTGATATTCTTTAATTTCTCTTCTTCCTTTCCCTTAAATATCAGTTCCACCTCCGGAATTTCATCCCAAATCTCTTCTGTTAAAACTGATAAGAAGTAGCTGTTCAATGCTTTGCTTATTTCTTCACTGCCATTTATCAATTCTCCCCTCCCTGACTTTAAAGGCCCAACTTTGTCCTTGACCTTTGTCCTATATACCTGGAAAAATCCCTTGGGATTCGCCTTGGATTCTCTTGCTATTTTGATTTCATAGTCTCTCTTTGCTTTCCTTACATTTTTCTTAACATTCCTAGATAGTTCATTATACCTGTTTCTGAGCTGCTCCTCCCCTCCCTTTAATTTCTTATATATTCCTTTCTTTATTCCTATGTCATGTTTAAGTTTTCTGGTCATCCACCTTGGCTCATTCTTATTTGACCTAATTTTTCTGTGTGGTATATTTTGTTCTTGTGCTTTATGTAGTATACTAGTGAATATATTATAGTCATGATCAATTGTTGTGTCATCTATGACCTCACCCCTTCCTACTGGGAACTGACGTGACTGTTCCCAGGTGACCTCACCTAGGTACCTTCTTAACCCCTGATAATCCGCCAACCGAAAGTTTGGGACTCTGACCATATTGTCATTGTTTTTCGTTTCCCAATTTAGGGTGAGGCTGATTTCTCTGTGATCACTGTTACCTAGTTCTTCCCCTACTGTGATATCTCTGATAATATTTTCTTTATTTGTTAATACTAGGTCTAATATATTGTCACCTCTAGTAGGTTGTGTAATTAGTTGTTTCAAAAAATTGTCCTGTACTGCGTCTAGGAAGTCTTCAGATTCATTGTCCCAGTCAATATTTCTGAAGTTGAAATCCCCCATAATGCATAGGTTGTTATATTTTGCTGCCCTACTCATTTCCTGCCATATGGGCTGAGCTGCTTCCTTGCCAAGACTTGGGGGCCTGTAAATCACTCCCATAATTAGTTTTTCTCTTCCTTCCGTGATTTCTACCCACACAGACTCGGTTCCTATTTCACCCTTTATTGAATCATTAGTACAACATTTTATGTATCCTTGACGAAGAGTGCGACCACTTCCCCCTTCCTACCTTCCCTGTCCTTGTGAAAAAGGTTGTACCCTTCTATGTGGTACTCTGATAAAAAAAATTTTGCTCCCCAGATTCCTCCAAGTTTCGGTGATTGCTATGACGTCTACATTCTCGGTACATACAACCGCTCTCAGCAAGTCTATTTTATTTCTAACGCTCCTACTGTTTGTATAGTATACATTTAAACCTACTCTTCCCTGGTCCTATTTTACCCCTTGTCCTGAGCAACTAATTTTACTTCCCAGGACCTGCTTGTTTTTTTACTCCCACTTTCCCCGACCCCTCTCTACTGGCGAAACCTCCCCTTCGGAGTGACAATTTCACGCTCCAGGGATGCAGACAACGTCTTTACCCCCTCATGAGACAAGTGTACTCCGTTGCGACAGTACAGGTAGTCGTTGCCATAGAATCGTTGCCAGTTATCAATGAATGCCCAACCATTGTTTGCACAATGTTTTTCCAGTCGGCAATTTATAGCAATTGCTCTGGACAGCCATTCACGACCAACCTCTCTTCTAGGCAAGACACCACATACTATCGGGATCCTTCCCCTATCCCCAATCTTCCCCAGCGCCTCCCTATACCTCTTGAAAAGTTCCTCACTCCTAACCTTACCTATGTCATTTCCTCCCACACTAAGACACACTACTGGATTGGTACCCTCCCCTGACAAAACCCTGTCTAACCTCTCTGCTACATGCCCTATCCCAGCCCCAGGAAAACACACCCTAGTCCTACGTTTCCTATCTCTCGCACAAAAAGCCCTATTCATAAACCTCACCTGGCTGTCACCAACTACCACGACCTTACCTGTGGGCAGGGTTTGTACAACTGCCCTTTCCTCTCCTTGATCCATACCGTCCTGCCTCTTCTCTTCCTCGCCAGCTTCCTGCAGCACCTGGTATGGGTTACTACACTCCACACCCTGGTCAGCTTTCCTGAGCCTGACCGTAGTCCCCTTGGAGACAACCACTCTCCACGCCTGCTCCTCCTTCGCAGGTGTCCTGCTAGGCAGGACACCTACCTGAAGGAGTTCCGTCCTGAGGGCTTCGTTTTACCCCTTTCGAGTGTCAACCTCCCTCCTCAACTACCCCAGCTGCCTTAACAGAGTGGCAAGGAGGTCGTCTTTCCCCACACTTCCCTCCTCTTCCCCCACTACACAACGATCCAAAGCGGCCATTTTCCTTGGTCTCTAACGGGAGCACGATCGGGCACGACCTTCTCCAAGCTGGGTCAGAGGTCAACTGAGCTGGGTCAGAGGTCAATATATATATATTTCATGGAGATCCACAATGAAAAAGTGAATAAAATAAATTTTGATAAAATCACACGGGAAAAGGGAAACAATGGAGCACCTTAGCTTTCGTCTTTATTCAAGACATGCTCAGAGGCAACTGGATTACATGGACAGAGAGAGGCTTAAATATACAGGGTGACCTTATTAAACATGAGGTCAGGTCATAATGATGTCATCCACTATTCTGCACACCAAAACCACCACCACCCACGCAAAGGAGCTTAAGAGAAAGGGCGACGTGACTAGTCAAGTTAAGTTAGGTCAAAATTATTGGACCCATTAATCATCTATCCTACAACTAACTCCAATGCTTTCAAAGCATTGACAAATAAATTTGTGTAACATATTATCAGTTTTGTACTGACCATCACTAAGGTTTATAGAATTCAATTCCCTAATCAAACTTGCTTCAACCAGAAGTCTTTCTGAGACACATGATGATTTAAACACTTTTAAGTTTTTTTTCCCAATCCATGGGATGATTATTGTTCCTTATATGAACGAACAGTGCACTGCTTTCAGATGCTCTTCTGATATTGTACTTGTGCTGTTTAATTCTGAGTTGCAATGCTTTCCCAGTCTGTCCTACATAATTTCTATTACAGTTGCTACATGGAATGCAGTAAACACTTCCAATTACATTCAAGGTTGGGCTATTCTTGATTAATATATTGGTAATAGTAGAGTCATACTTAAAAACAACATTAATATTTAATAATTTAAGGGACTGAATTAACGGGACAAATTCATTCCGATAAAGCAAAGTCAAAATATTCTTAAATGTAGGAATTTGTCTGGCTTGAGTTGAATGAAACGATTTTTTGGCCCTTTTAAAACAATGATCAACAAACAATGAAGGGAACCCAAGTTTTTGTGCAATGGACTGAATGTGACATTTTTTAGGAAAGTCTTCGAGGTAGTAGATAATGACGAAAATTACGACGTTATTTACTTAGACC